ACGCGACCAGCCCTGGCGGCCTCCGGCACCATCTCTGCGTTGGGCGCGGCGGCCGGGCGCCCAGAGCCTCAGCGGTCAAGCCGCCACAAGGATTAGGGTTTAGGGCTTGGGGTTTAGGGTTTAGGGTTTAGGGTTTAGGGTTTAGGGTTTAGGGTTTAGGGTTTTTTTTTGGGGGGGGGGGGCCTCTTAAAAGGTTTACAGGGTAGGATTTGGCTCTGAGGCTCGAGGTTCTTCATAGCCCTATGCAAAATCCTGGGTGGGATCGGGCTCAGGGGTTCTGCGGGGTGTGCGGGTACACTGCACCCCACTTCAGGGACTAAAGGAGGGACCCTTAGAAGGGCCTGCTCGGCCCTCAGCCTTAAAGCCCTTCTATACTTCCGAAGCCGTAAGCTCCTCAGCTGCCACACAAGCGATCACCCTAAACCCTAAACCCTAAACCCTAAACCCTAAACCCTAAACCCTAAACCCTAAACCCTAAACCCTAAAACCCTAAAACCCTAAACCCTAAACCCTAAACCCTAAACCCTAAACCTCCCAAAGGCGCTCTCCGCGCGGATAAGCTACACCCGCCTGCGGCGACTCAATGGCCTGTCGGGAAGCTCAGCGATGCGTGTGTCCTCCTACTTGGAGGTTCATGGGGCACTTGTATAACGCCCAAATAATACTTAGGGTTTAGGGTTTAGGGTTTAGGGTTTAGGGTTTAGGGTTTAGGGTTTAGGGTTTAGGGTTTAGGGTTTAGGGTTTAGGGTCTAGGGTTTAGGGTTTAGGGTTTAGGCTACTTGAGGCTACTTGTAACGTACAGATCTTAATTTGGGGTTCTAAGTGCCCTGAACCTCCAAGTAGTGCAGCTCTCTCAGTCGCCTGTGCCTTGTGGGACTAAACCCTAAACCCTAAACCCTAAACCCTAAACCCTAAACCCTAAGCCCAACAAGGGTCCACAAATCCTCAGCCCAACCCAACAGCAACAGCCCCTCAGCCAAAAGGCTGCCTTCCAAAAAACACCGACTTAGGGACTGGGTAGGTGACCTTGAACTTCTTGGGTTGTATAGAATCCTACTATCCATAAAAGGGGTTTAGGGTTTAGGGTTTAGGGCTTAGGGTTATCTTTGTTTGGGCTAGGGTCTTCAGACCCCTTTAAGCCGAGGTTAATGATCGGCTGCGCTGGCTTCATGCAGTGGCGAGATCAGATGGCGCGGGGTCTCAGGTCCTCACGGCAGGCCTCGAATTGGGGGCTTACGAAAACAAGGGGCCCTCCCAAGTAGTAGGGTTTAGGGTTTAGGGTTAACCCTAAACCCTAAACCCTTACAACAAGGTACCCCCATTTCGGAAACCCCCAATTCGGGAATGTTGGTGTGACAATCTGGCTTTCAAGGAGCTGTGGATTCAGTGATGGTTATATGGTTGGCCGTCATAAAAGGGGGCCAGAAGCATTTCGAAGAATTTCCCCTTAATTCTGGCCCCTCTATAATTATTCTCTAATAACCCCTTCCTCTTCCTCTTCCTCTTCTTCTTCTTCTTCTCAAGGCTCCTACATTGCACCCTGAACCCGAAAACCGAATCACGTGGGGTTCGGCCCGGACCCTGCCTTAAGTTGCGGAACGCACCTTCGGTCTTAGGGTTTAGGGTTTAGGGTTTTGGGTTTTGGGTTTAGGGTTTAGGGTTTGGGGTTTAGGGTTTAGGGTTGAGGGTTTAGGGTTTAGGGTTTAGGGTTTAGGGTTTGGGGTTAGGCGATGATGCGGCCTTAGTTTGCCTTTGCTGGGTGGGGAAGGGGGTTTGGGTTTGTCCTGACGGTGTAGTGCTGCTAGGTATGGGCAAGTACTGTTCAGTAGCATCATTTTCATACCTGTTGCAAAACATCAAAATCATTTAAGTCATGCTCCGCCCCAAACCCAAAACCCAAAACCCTCAACCCTCAACCCTCAACCCTCAACCCTCAACCCTAAACCCTAAACCCTAAACCCGCACCTGTTTCGGGAGCAGAGCTCCAGGTGCGAGAGCTGGGCAAGCGAGCCGATCATGATCTTGAGGCGCCTCTGCTTTACAGGTTGGGGTCTTTTAGGGTTTGGGGCTTTGGGGCTGGGGGTTTAGGGTTTAGGGTTTGAGGTTTGAGGTTTGGGGGTTTGAGAGGCTAAGGGTTTAGGGCTTACAGAGGAGTCAGTTTTGCAGGGAGGGCTGCCGCGCGTAGATGTCTCTTTGGATGTTGAGGGGTTGGGGAAGGCCAGGCGCTAGCGAGCCCTGCACCCGGTCATAACCTGCAA